TTAAATGTAAGTATATAACTAATATTTGCTGTATTTTTATTTAATTGTTCAAAATTAACCAGATAAGAAAGTCATAGTAGTTGGAATTGTCCTGGAATATAACAACACAACCAAAAACTGAGGTTTCCTGTTCCCTTAGATTTTAACGGAGTAAAAACTACTTATGGGTGGTTAGAGGTCAGAGGGCAGTTAGCTTTTAAAGGCTTTTACTGCTTTTACCCATTTGTATAGATTTAGAAACAGGATTAATCCATAAAAGGTGACTTTATTTACTAAATGGGTGGATAGCCATACATACCTTTTGTTTTTATTTTTTTAATTTTTTCTAAAGATTTATTTGAGGTGGGGGGCAGAGGGAGAGAATCTCCAAGCAGACTCCCCACCAAGCGTGGAGCCTGACATGGGGCTCAATCCCATGACCCACGAGATCATGACCCAGCTGAAACCAAGAGTTGGACGATTAACCAACTGAGCCACCCAGGCGACCCCCCATATCTTTTGTTTTTAAAGTTCAATTCAGAGGAATTGAACAGAGGAATTTTATATCCCAACTGTGATTTTGAAAGATGATTCTAATATCCTAACTTGTGCTTTAAAAATTCTCTCCTCCATTGTTAATGTATAATGAATTTAATATCAGCCAGTGTATTCAGCATTGGGTCACTGATTATGTCCCACATGATTTGTTTGGTATTGAAAGGATTGTATCTCATGGAGTGTTGAATTAGGACTGGAAAGGGAGCTACTGCCAGAGTTACTATAGGATCATTACTGCTGTCAGGGGAATTGGAGGGGAAATTCAAGAGAGAACTGCATTCGAATTTCAAGTCTTATTAGTTATCACTAGGGCTATTAGTAATGGTGAAATTTTTCTACATTCCTGAATGCAATTTTTGTATAAAACACTGTACTAGGTACAGTAAGTATGCAGAAATGAATAAACCTGGTTTTCAGTGACCTTACAGACAAGTAATACCAAAAAAGTACCATAATAGTGGTATGAACCATGTACTGGAGAATACCAGAAAGAATCAACTTTGTGGGGAAGGTAACATTTCTGCCGAGCCTTGAAGAATAGATAGAATTCTTTCGAGAGAATGGCAAGAATATTTCTCAGTTATGGAAATGAAAGTATATAACATGTTCTAGAAATTGTGAGCAGTCCAGTGTGCCTAGACAACAGTGTACGGGATATGATAGAAGTTGGATCTATGTCATGCATGCTTTCAAATGTCAGGTGAAAGAGTTGGGACTTCAGTAGTAGGTAATGGGAATCTATTGAAGATTTCTTAGCATTGGTGCACTTAAGTAGGTGAGTCTTTTGAAAAGCTGACTGGTAGAGTAAGGGTTGACTTGATGAAGTCAGATTAGGCAGTAATAATACCTAATTAAGGACAACATTTATTGTTATATGTACCAGACACTGTGTGTGAAGAGTTTTACCTGCAATTTCTCATTTAATCCTTATTACGGGAATGTGAGAAGTAACTGAAATAATACATGCTAGGCATTTAGCACAGGACCTGGCCCAGTAATGCTAAACCATAGTGATTATACTATAAACTCAGAGAAAAGTGTTCTTGTCCACCTTTATGTGTAAAAACTTTCTACAAGAGTGTTGTGTTTATTGAGGGACTCTTAAAAAAGTAACAATAAACCTTTTTTTTTACTACCCCCTACCTCTTTCTTTTAAACAATTAAAGTATCCCATTGGTGGATGAATACTTCTTACCCAGTTTGAGAGCTGAGCATTAGTTGACATTGAGTTAGCCTTTGGTCAAAAAAAAAAAAAGCGGGGGGGTCTGACTTTTTTGTTTTAACAGGACTGAGCATAGAGATAGTCATGCACCTAAACATAAAGCCCATACATAAGGTTTAAATCAAAATGTAACTGTAGGGGCGCCTGGGTGGCTCAGTCGTTAAGCATCTGCCTTCGGCTCAGGTCATGATCCCAGAGTCCTGGGATCGAGCCCCACATCGGGCTCCCTGCTCCGCGGGAAGCCTGCTTCTCCCTCTCCCACTCCCCCTGCTTGTGTTCCCTCTCTCGCTGTGTCTCTCTCTGTCAAATAAATAAAATCTTTAAAAAAAAAAAATGTAACTGTAGATCTCATCTGTCAAGCGTCTGGAAAAGTGATAATTGTTGCAGCTGTTAACTATAACGGTAACAGTTTTAGCATAGATAACATAGGCTCGAAGTTATTTGGAAGTATATATGGTTGGCTAAGTACAGTTACTTTCAAATTATTCTACTCACTCTTACTCTCCTACCCATGTAGGAATACAAGTAGTGATGGATCGTCTTCCATTCATGTGTCCCTTTACCTGGCCCCCTCTCCAAAATAATTAGTGTGTGTTCTTTTTTTTATTAATTTATTTAGAGAGTGAGAGAGAGCATGAGCAGGGGGGAGGGACAGAGGGAGAGGGAGAAGCAGACTCCCCGCTCAGCAGGGAGCCCTGGATGGGACTTTATCCCAGGACCCTGGGATCATGACCTGAGCCAAAGGCAGACGCTTAACCAACTGAGCCACCAGGCGCCCCCAATTAGTGTGTGTTCTTTCAGAACCTTTCCTATGCATTCATATAATAATCTTTTTTAATCTATTTTATATCTTTTTTTTTCCTAACCACAAAGGGTATCCCTATACATGGATTCTGCATCTTTCTTTTTTCATTCATTAAAGTCTTAAAGGTCTTTCCATTTAATTGTTTGGAAATCTTACTCCACTTTAAAAAAACCAAAACACGGGCACCTGGGTGGCTCAGTCGTTAAGCGTCTGCCTTCGGCTCAGGTCATGATCCCAGGGTCCTGGGATCGAGCCCCACATCGGGCTCCCTGCTCCGCGGGAAGCCTGCTTCTCCCTCTCCCACTCCCCCTGCTTGTGTTCCCTCTCTTGCCGTGTCTCTCTCTCTGTCAAATAAATAAAATCTTTAAAAAAAAAAAAAAGCTGCATGGTATTCCTTCATATTGCTCTGCAATAATGTACTTATTCATGCCTCAGTAGAGGTTGTTTTTAGTAATACACACTAAGGTGACTGTATGCTCCTCTTTAAGCATGCGTTTGTCTCTAGATTAAATGCTTTAATTTATATAGATAAAGAGCTAGACCTCACATACTTTATTATTTGTAACAGATTTCATTCAGCCCACCTCACAGCTGATTGCAGTAGCAATGGTGGTGACACCCCAGTTGTGAACTGCTGGCTTAGAATACTGATCTGCAACTGACTTAGTGGGAACTGTGTGTATATCCATGATTCTCTTCCGTTAAAAGGAACGGTATTAACAATTGTCCTCTCTCCCTCACATGTGGGAAGGATAAAGTGAGATAATGGATATGTGCTTATGGGAAATCCAGTATAAATCTGAATTCTACTAGATTATAATCTTCTCAAAAGCAGGGGCTGTATTTTATTCATCTTTGCATATTTAGAGCACAGTACCTGGCATGTCGTGGGCAGTTTTTGTGGAGTGGATCCCAGACATGAATGTGACCAAAAAGTGGTTCGGGCCAGTAGAATTTTCTTAGATGTATTTTCTACATTACTAGGAATCTGTACAGTTTTCACTGAAAATTACCCACCTTTTCAACCTTATCTTATTTTTCTGCTCCACTCAGCCATAATTCTTCAGATTTGTCATGTTCTTTCATGGCCTTTCCCCCAACACAAACAGTTGTCAGAGATATCCTGTAAGACCTTCATTATTCCTAATGACTAAACTCAAGCACAACATTCTTTGTGATGTTTCTCCTGCCTTTCCTTAGTGTCTAAGTTTTAGGCACTTCTTCCCCTTAACCTTCACTGCAGCTTATACACCTGTAAATGGCACAGTGTTTGTTGCTGTCTGAAGACATACCTGCCCCTGGGGCATGGCAGGGCCTGGAACTTCAGAGATAAATCACCTGCATCGAGAAAATGAGAGGCATGTTGTTTTTGCTGACTTGTGGGATGCAGCGTGTATGATGCAGAGGAGGGCCATTAAAATCTTGTGTGATATGCCCCTCCTTACCCTACTTCTTCAGCCTCATCTTTCATCACATGGTCTGTGAGTCTTTCTCCCTGCACTTCAATGTTAGCCAGCTACCTATGGCTTCCTGAACTTGCCACGCCATTTCACTCCTTTAAATCCTTCCCTAGGCAACTACCTATGCCTGAAATAGCTTTCCCTCTCACCTGTCTACCTAGTGAACACATTTTATCTTCTAAGACCCAGCTTAGGTATCCCCTTGTTTAATGAATCCTTTCCTTAAATCCTCCCCTTCCCTCAAAATTGACCGGCCCCTCCTTTGTCTCCCCTGTTTACTGCACATTGTATCTGTAACCATTCAGTTATTACATTTATTTATTGAATGTTTATCTTCCCCTACTAAAATGTAAATTTCTTGAACATAGGCAACTGTGCTTTTATTAATTTTAATATTTTCACCCACTGTAGTGTAGAGTAAGTAGCAGGCACTCAACAAAGCTTAAGTAAGAAGTATATCGTACATACGAAAAAATATAAAAATGATAAATTAGAAAATGGGTTATAAATAAAAATGTTAAGTGGATCGTCACTTTTATAAATTTTTCAGTTCAAATTTCCTATTAGGAAAGTCTTTGTTGATTTATGGATAAGTATTTGTAGGATGAGATTTCTCGTTCTTTATTTAATTACATTATACAATTTAAAATATTGAATATTCTCTAAGAGTATCTAAATTGGAGAATTGTGAAATAGATTTATATATAATAAATTTGCTGATAAAAGTTTCTGTACAGTTCTGAGATTATTCTTTTTTTTTTTAAAGATTTTATTTGAGAGAGAGAGAGCACATGAGCAGGGGGGAGGGGCAGAGGGAGAGGGAGAAGCAGACTCCCCACTCAGCAGGGAGCCTGATGTGGGACTTGATTCCAGGACCCTGGGATCATGACCTGAGCCGAAGGCAGTCGCTTAACCGACTGAGCCACCCAGGCGCCCCTAGATCTGTAACTTTTTAACAAGAGTGTGTGGACAAAGATATTTTCTACTTTACTTGTAGGGAGAAGAATTACATGTCTCCTTCTTTACCACTGATTCTGTTTATATCCTAAAAGTAAATTGTTTCATTTTTATTCATCATCAGCTCTTGACTTGAGCTCTCTCACACATCTCCTTTATAGCTGTTCTGAAATCAATGTTGATAAATCAGTTATATCTCTTTGGATGTGATGCTGTTATTTAAACGTACAGCGTTTTACATAGCTGTTGCTTTAGCATATATAAAAATGAAAACTTAAGTATACCCATATGTTTAGAATAAAAAAATGTGTTTCATTCTGTAGTAATGCAGAAAAATGTATTGAATACCCACTATGTGCCGGGTTGTTAGGTATTTCTATACTTTAGCTAATTCTCTTGACAGTCCAGTAAGGTAGGGTGTGGTATCTCACTTAATAGAAAAGAAATTTGTTTAGTTTAGTCCAAGGCCATCCTGAAACCAGATTTGAACCTGGATCTGTCCCTTCCAGAAGTTTTCACTGACAACACGCCATCACAAAAGATGGGAAATTTACATTTTTCTTAAAAACTACTTTGATTCTGTTTCACTTTGTTGTGTTGCTAGTCACAAGAAATGCAGGGAGTTAAGTTCTTTGAATCCTCCTCTTCACTGTTTTTTTTTTTTTGTCCTGTTACAGTTCTCACAGTCTGCCATCATTTGACAGTAGCAGAGGCATTCAGTTTATTTCGACTGCTATGACATTTGTTTCTTAGAGAAATTCCTACGGGTGCCAATTCACCAAGCATAAGGACATCGTTTCCAGGCCCTCGTACAACAGTCTACTATTTCTAATATCTTACCATTTCTGTAATCTTTGTAGTTACAGTGTCCTTTTTTTTTTTTTAATATGGACCTAACGAATTTAGATGAAAAAAAAAATTGAATCTATTTTGGTAATGGAAAAAAGAATTTCCAGTGTGGTTACAAACCACATCTTATGAGCTGTTCTTTGCCTCCCACTTTAAGAATTACCAAGTATTTTTAAAAATTGGAACCTGAAATTCAGTTCATTGCTTGGATGCATTTCTTAAGAAACCTCTGAGAATTGATTGTAGGAAATTAGGGGAGCAGTTAGAAGATGATTGGAAATAAGATAGTGAGAGAAGAGCAAAATGACCTGAAAATGAGGACTTTACAATTTTAATTTTACCAGTGAAAGTGGATTTGTTGTTTTTCTCTTTCTGTTATACTCTGTGGTCCCATATTGGACAGTCTGTTGCAAAAAGCCATTATAGATTTCATATAGGCCACTGTTTGAGTATCTGAACTGGGAGTCTATAGAGTAGAATTGGGTAAAGTAAGACAGTGACTTAACTAATGTAAATAGCATATTCTGGTATCTTGGAACTTAAGAGATCCTTTTTCCACCTCAGAATATTTTATGTGAGACACACTGGGGACTACCTCACTGCTATTAGATCTCATAATGTTATCTGGTCACATTTCTTATTCTGCCTACCTCTAGTTTACTCTAGTTTCTCTTCTGCTTTCAAGGCTCCAGACCCAGTTCCTGGACCTGCCCTGGAAAAGAAGTATCCAGTAGAGATGAGCTCACTGCAGTTACTTAATTAAAAATTTGTAAGCTACAAAAATGGCAATGGGCCAACCAAGAACAGCTACAATTTGAATTTTTCTATTTCCAGGTATGCTAAAGTCCATGGCACCAGTCAAGCTTAGCCTGCATAACTGCCTTACTATGACATCTATAATAACCAAAACTTTACTTTCAACATCTGTGGTCCTCTTGCTTTCAAGTTTAGTAACATTCCTAACATCTAGGTAACATGCAGCTACTCTTGACTTTAACATACCTTTTGCCTGACTATTTCTAATTTAACTTGTTTGCTAGTAGTAGCAAAGTAATGAAAAAATGATTTAAGAAAAATAAATTTGAAATGCTATTGAGTTAGGCCCTGTAAATGTACAAAAAATACTCTGGTCTTCATTGAAAAGTAAACATTAATGACAACAAAACTATCTTCCTTTAAGAGGTTCACATATAGTATAAGTAGTACAGGGAATTAAATAAATGATCCTAGTTCTCTCAACTATTCTACACTACAAACACCTTCACAGAGAGTTAATATATTCTTCAGTAATTGGAAATCATAGGATTTCTGAACAGAACCAGATAATGTATTATATAGTACTTTTTACCTGAAGAATTTTAAATGTAAGTATATAACTAATATTTGCTGTATTTTTATTTAATTGTTCAAAATTAACCAGATAAGAAAGTCATAGTAGTTGGAATTGTCCTGGAATATAACAACACAACCAAAAACTGAGGTTTCCTGTTCCCTTAGATTTTAACGGAGTAAAAACTACTTATGGGTGGTTAGAGGTCAGAGGGCAGTTAGCTTTTAAAGGCTTTTACTGCTTTTACCCATTTGTATAGATTTAGAAACAGGATTAATCCATAAAAGGTGACTTTATTTACTAAATGGGTGGATAGCCATACATACCTTTTGTTTTTATTTTTTTAATTTTTTCTAAAGATTTATTTGAGGTGGGGGGCAGAGGGAGAGAATCTCCAAGCAGACTCCCCACCAAGCGTGGAGCCTGACATGGGGCTCAATCCCATGACCCACGAGATCATGACCCAGCTGAAACCAAGAGTTGGACGATTAACCAACTGAGCCACCCAGGCGACCCCCCATATCTTTTGTTTTTAAAGTTCAATTCAGAGGAATTGAACAGAGGAATTTTATATCCCAACTGTGATTTTGAAAGATGATTCTAATATCCTAACTTGTGCTTTAAAAATTCTCTCCTCCATTGTTAATGTATAATGAATTTAATATCAGCCAGTGTATTCAGCATTGGGTCACTGATTATGTCCCACATGATTTGTTTGGTATTGAAAGGATTGTATCTCATGGAGTGTTGAATTAGGACTGGAAAGGGAGCTACTGCCAGAGTTACTATAGGATCATTACTGCTGTCAGGGGAATTGGAGGGGAAATTCAAGAGAGAACTGCATTCGAATTTCAAGTCTTATTAGTTATCACTAGGGCTATTAGTAATGGTGAAATTTTTCTACATTCCTGAATGCAATTTTTGTATAAAACACTGTACTAGGTACAGTAAGTATGCAGAAATGAATAAACCTGGTTTTCAGTGACCTTACAGACAAGTAATACCAAAAAAGTACCATAATAGTGGTATGAACCATGTACTGGAGAATACCAGAAAGAATCAACTTTGTGGGGAAGGTAACATTTCTGCCGAGCCTTGAAGAATAGATAGAATTCTTTCGAGAGAATGGCAAGAATATTTCTCAGTTATGGAAATGAAAGTATATAACATGTTCTAGAAATTGTGAGCAGTCCAGTGTGCCTAGACAACAGTGTACGGGATATGATAGAAGTTGGATCTATGTCATGCATGCTTTCAAATGTCAGGTGAAAGAGTTGGGACTTCAGTAGTAGGTAATGGGAATCTATTGAAGATTTCTTAGCATTGGTGCACTTAAGTAGGTGAGTCTTTTGAAAAGCTGACTGGTAGAGTAAGGGTTGACTTGATGAAGTCAGATTAGGCAGTAATAATACCTAATTAAGGACAACATTTATTGTTATATGTACCAGACACTGTGTGTGAAGAGTTTTACCTGCAATTTCTCATTTAATCCTTATTACGGGAATGTGAGAAGTAACTGAAATAATACATGCTAGGCATTTAGCACAGGACCTGGCCCAGTAATGCTAAACCATAGTGATTATACTATAAACTCAGAGAAAAGTGTTCTTGTCCACCTTTATGTGTAAAAACTTTCTACAAGAGTGTTGTGTTTATTGAGGGACTCTTAAAAAAGTAACAATAAACCTTTTTTTTTACTACCCCCTACCTCTTTCTTTTAAACAATTAAAGTATCCCATTGGTGGATGAATACTTCTTACCCAGTTTGAGAGCTGAGCATTAGTTGACATTGAGTTAGCCTTTGGTCAAAAAAAAAAAAAGCGGGGGGGTCTGACTTTTTTGTTTTAACAGGACTGAGCATAGAGATAGTCATGCACCTAAACATAAAGCCCATACATAAGGTTTAAATCAAAATGTAACTGTAGGGGCGCCTGGGTGGCTCAGTCGTTAAGCATCTGCCTTCGGCTCAGGTCATGATCCCAGAGTCCTGGGATCGAGCCCCACATCGGGCTCCCTG